GGGGGGGGGGGGGGGGGGGGGCCTGGCCGTGTGCCCTACACCTGAGGCTCGCACCTGCCCGCCCCCCAGGTGGACTGCCCACTGTCTCGGTGGGGGGTGTGTTGGAAGCGCAAAGGCTCAGGTCTCTCAGCCAGGCCATCGAGTGCCACGCTGAGCGTCAGGGCCCCGCCCCCAGCTCGGGGACGCTGCGCGCTCGGGGACGCTGCGCGCTCGGGCAGGTGGTGGTGGTGGGGGTGCTCTACTGGCCCCAGTCAGCCTCCCCCGCCTCCCTGGCCCCAGGCACCTGCACCAATGACAAGAAGGATGAGTGCCGTCTCCCCGGGGGCACCGTGGTGCCCTCCTGCTCTGATATGTCCGGCCACTGGAAGGTGACGACGCCCCACCAGCCGCCCTGCCACGGGCCACCCCCAAAGCCCACTGCAGTCGGGCCCACGCCCTCGCCCGCCCCCTGCCTGCCTTCGCCGATCTGCCAGCTGATTCTGAGCGAGTGAGATGTGGGGGCGCAGAGTGGGCCTACGGGGGCCCCCCGGGGGGAAAAGGGTCGCTGTGGGTCCACCAGGGCTGGCCGTGGGTCCGGGCCTGCGTCATGACCCCGGGCGCCACCTGGCTTTCCAGCCCAGGGGAGACCTCGAGACAGAAAGAGCCGTGGGGCAGCCGGCCGCCCTCCCCGGGGCACGCAGACCCGGGTAGGCCCGAGCTGCCCCACGACCCGGTGCTCCCGGCCGCAGGGTCTTCGAGCTGTGCCACCCTCTGATCCCCCCGCTGGCATTCTACCAAGGCTGCACCTTCGACCACTGCCACCTGAACGACTCCAACGTGCTGTGCTCTAGCCTGGAGCTGTATGCGTCCCTCTGCGCCTCCCGAGGCGTGTGCATCGACTGGAGGCGCCACACCAACCACACGTGCTGTGAGTGTCCTCCGAGCGGCATCGGCCGGTGCCAGCGTGTGGCCAGGGGCCGGACGACCAGTGGCTGGACTTCCCGGAGCGGGGTGGGGGGGTGGGGAGGAGCGGGGAGGAGCTGGGGGAAGAGGAGGAGGGGGAGGGGGGATGGTTGACCCCAGGGCAGACTGCACTGGGCTCCTGGAAAGAAGGGAGGAGCACCCAGATTGGGGACTCAGGGCCTAGAGCACAGGGGTGGCAGGGCCGTGCACGCAGGGGTGGGGCCGACGGGGCCCCGCTTCCGGGCTGCAGAGCCCCCGGCGGATGCCTGGGGATGAGTTGGCTCGGGGCCGGGGCCCTCGGCCTCAGGTGTCCTCTCCCTCCTCACAGCGTTCACCTGCCCTGCTGACAAGGTGTACCTGCCGTGTGGCCCGTCCAAGCCCTCATACTGCTATGGGAGTGACAACACAAGCCTCGTGTATGCACCCGCCTCTCCCTCCTAGACCCACCCCCGGGGAACCCGGCCCGGCCTTCCCCTGCCCTGGAGAGCACAGGGACCAGGCCGGCCCTCTGCTGTCCCTACAGGGCTCTTCAGGACACTGTCCCCATCACAGAAGGCTGCTTCTGTCCAGAGAACATGACGCGTTTCAGCATGAGCTCTCCAGTCTGCGTGCCTGCGGACTGCCACAGTAAGTCCCCACGGTGGGGGGGTGGCGGGTGGGGGCGGGGGTGGGGCTTGGGGCTGGCAGGTGCACCTTCCGCCCGAGCGAGTGCCAGGACCAACCGCCCTCCCAGATCTGCACTTCCCAGCCAGGGCCCGGGGGGCCCCTCCGACGTGGCTCCTGCCCCCGAAAGGGCTGGGGGCTGCTGCCTCCCACCGCTGACCTCACTCTCTCTCCCTCCAGGGTGCCTGGGCCCCCACGGGGAGGCTGTGGAGGTGAGTGCGCCATGCTGGGGGTAGGGCAGGGCTTCCTCTCGGCGCCAGAGTATCAGATGAGGGGCAGGGAGGGGCCCAGGCTTCTCCGGCAAGATCTGGGAGGCTTCTACGTGGCGGTGCCCACCCCCGGGGGTGGCCCTGCCCTGTCCTCCGCTGGGACCCCCTCCTGCTCCACCTGGACACCGTGAGGTCACCCACGTGGCACCTCCCACCCCATCTCCTGCCCCTGCGGCCACCGCCCTGCACTCTCGAAGCCCCCTTCCCCCGGGTTCCCCCGCTGGCCCTCATCGGTGGGCTCCCAGAACCACCTGGTCTGGCTGCAGCCGTCCCTGGACAGGCAGGTGACTGACCCCACAGCCCTGGGCTCACACGTGCCTCCTCCTGCAGCCCGGCCACACCATCAGCGTGGACTGCCAGCGGTGCACCTGTGAGAGCAGCACGCTGACAATGAGCTGTCACAGGCAGCCCTGCCCCCTGCCCCCAGCCTGCCCCCTGCCCGGCTTCGTGCCTGTGCCTGCAGCCCCGCAGGCCGGCCAGTGCTGCCCCCAGTACAACTGCGGTGAGTCCGGGGTGCTGTCCCCTCATGCCTTCCGGGTCGGCTTCGGCCGAAAGCACAGGGGCGCCTGCCCACGAGGGTGCCGTGGCGCCGGCACTTGGGGGGGACGCTGGCACCTGGGGGACCCACCACCTGCCCACCGGGTGGCCGGCGCTCCCGAAGACCCTTGGGGATCACCCCCGGGTGGGGGTGGGAGCTGGCGCAGAGCCGGACACAGGCCCCCGAGCACCTCCGTCCTGCCCACTGCAGCCTGTGACACCAGCTACTGCCCCAAGCCCGTGGCCTGTCCCGAGGGCTCCCACCCGGTCGTGACCTATACGGAGGGGGCCTGCTGCCCCAGCCAGAACTGCAGTGAGTGTCTTTTCTCCGGGCTGCGCTACACGCTGCGGGTGGGGGGCCCAGCCTCTCTCGGGGTTCTCCGTGGCTCGGGGTGAAGCTGGATGAAGCCACAGCTGGACCACCGCGGCCGGGGGCCCCGGGGCCGGGCGACTGCCCGTGCGGACAGGGTGGCGGGAGGGCGGGAGGTCAGGGTGGCTCCGTGAGGCTGTTCTCCTCTTGCACAGGCTGGGACGTCTGCAGCGTTAACGGTACCTTGTACCAGGTAAGGAGCAGATGGAGGCCCGGACCCCCGGGGCACACGGGACACTGAGCGCTCTCCGCCCCTGCCCCTGCCGGCTCCTCCCGAGCCTGGGCCAGGACCCCTGCCGGCTCGGGTGGCTGCAGGGCAGCCGTGAGCTCTCCCGGGACCACTGCCCACGGAGGCAAGGGCCTGGGGCTCCCCCTCGCCCACCCAGAGTCACCCAGGGGGACCGGTCTGCCTGGCAGGGGGGCCGGGAAGGCAGGGGCCCGGGGCCCGGTCTGAGCTCGCCAACACTGGCCACCCTGACCCTCCCCAGCCCGGCTCCGTGGTCTCCTCCAGTCTGTGCGAAACGTGCAGGTGCGAGGTGTCCAGCAGTCCCCAGTTGGACACGGTCATCATCAGCTGTGAGACCCAGATTTGCAACACCCACTGCCCTGCGGTGAGTGCCTGCGTCCACCCCGGGAAAGCCAGCGCCCGGGCTCGGGCTCCATTTTCACCCCGCCCTATCCACCCCTCCCTGCAGGGCTTCGAGTATCAGGAGCAGAGTGGGCAGTGCTGTGGCCGGTGTGTGCAGCAGGCCTGTGTCGTGAACGCCAGTGACAGTTCCACCCGCATCTTCTATGTGAGTCGTGGCCACAGGGCCCAGCCGGGGGGGACCCCAGGGCCGGGGGGGTGAGTCCCGGGAGGGACAGAGCCAGCACGCCCCTCGCAGGAGCCCCAGGCAGGCCGGGCCTCACCCCGGCCTGGACAGAGCAGCTGTGAGGCGCACAGGGACGGCAGGGTCTGGCGCACCGGGGCCCCCCGGGCAGAGGGGGGGTCCGGAAGCCCACAGGCTGGGAGGCAGACATGTAGACGGGCAGACGGACCTCCCCTGCCCGCTCACCCTGCTGGTGCCTCTTCCTTGCAGCCCGGCCAGTCCTGGCCAGACCCCACGAACCCGTGTGTGACCCACGAGTGTGAGAAGCACCGGGACGGGCTCGTGGTGGTGACCAGGAAGAAGGCGTGTCCCCCACTCAACTGCCCTGCGGTGAGCTCCAGGGACACACGGCCCCGCCTGGCACGCTGCGGGCCCAGGGGAGGCCACGGCAAGATTCGCCTGGGCTGGGGGCGGGGAGGCGCGGTGGGCCCCCTGCAGCACCCACAGGGGCGCCCCCTGCCTGCGTGGGGCACTGTCCACTGCCGTGTGACCCCCTGCTTCCGGGCCGGCCGCTCCGGCGCTCAAGCAGCCCCTCTGTCGGCACAGGCCCAGGCCCAGCTGAGCGAGGACGGCTGCTGTCTCGCCTGTCCCCCGCCCCAACCTCGGAACCGTGAGTGCGAGCGTCTGCGGGGGGTGGTCGATCCTGCCCACTGGGGGTGGGGGGGTGGGGGGGGCCGGGGAGCCATCCAGGCCTGAGCCGCGCCCCCGCCTCCCGTGTCGCCCGCAGAGTCGGCCTGTGCGGTATACTACAAGCCTGAGGTCATCGTGCATGGAGATTGCAGGTCCCCGCGGCCCATGAGGGTGGCCTACTGCCAGGGCAACTGTGGGGACAGCAGTGCCAAGTACGTGAGCCCCGACTCCGCCAGGCAGAGACCAGTCTCCGCAGGGCAGCGTCCCCAGGACTGGCTGTGCCGGGCGCCCGGGCCGGAGGGGAAGGCAGGAGGGGGGGGGGGCAGGCGGTGGGGTCCTGACGCTGCGGGGGGGGGGGGCGGGGGGCGTGGTGGCTGGGGCCAGGCCTTCGGAGGCCGATGGACTCAGGCTGTTCTGTTTACTACTGAGGCCGCGGACACAGCGGCCCCCTTGGCGGCGTGCCCACAGGTCGGCGGTGGCACGCTGCCGGCCCGGAGTCCGCCGGGGGAGCCCGGGATGGGCACGTGGGGCCCCGGGGCCTGCGGGGGGCTGCGGGGGGCTGCGGGCGTGGCGCCGGGTGCTGAGCGGGCCCTGCCCACAGGTACTCGCTGGAGGCCAACACCATAGAGCAGAACTGCAGCTGCTGCAGGGAGCTGCGGGTGTCGCCGACGACGGTGACCCTGCGCTGCAAGGACGGCTCCAGCCGAACCTTCGGCTACACCCTGGTGAAGGAGTGCGGCTGTGTGGGGCAGCGGTGCGGCCCCCGCGACAACCTAAGCCATTCGGAGGACCCGGGGCCCTTGCAGAGTGACGAGGAGCAGAGCCAGGAGACGGGGCACACGGGCTGGAGGAGGGGGTCCAGCAGCCCTCGGAGCTCCCGGCCACCTCCCTCCGGGACCCAGCGATAAGGGTCCCGTTCCCCGTAGCCCCAGCTGCAAGGCCGGTGGGACCTCGGTCCAGGCGGCCCGAGATCAGGATGCACTGCCCGCCCCGCTCTTCCGTCTGCAGGGTCCACGGCCCTTGGAAGTGTGACGGCCCTGAGGGACCCGGGCGGGCGGGGCTCCTCTGGCCACGGGTCCAGTCTGCTTTTCCCCGGACGTAAGCATCACGGAAGGGTCTTATCAATGACGGCCACTTGGATGTGGTGCCCGGCCATTCGGCTGGCCACCGGGAGGCAGAGCCTCACCCCTACCTCGGCCCTGGGCCTCGGGAAATGGCCAACTGGTTCCATAAATACATCTGGAGCATTTTGCACCTTGCAGACTCTGTGTGATTTTTAAGCCTGTCCATGAAACCCAGGAACGGGGCGGGGGCAGACTGGGTCCCAGAGGGCGCACACCACAGCCGTGGGGGGGACGGGGCAGATGGTGGGCGGGGCACCTTCTTCAGGGGGGTTCCTGCTGCCTCTGGCTGTTGGGGGCTGGGGGAGAACGCTTATCCATTCAGAGGGTGGGGGAGGGGAGGAGTTCCGCGTGGCCCTGCCCTGGGCCTCAGGACACATTTATTTACCCAGCAGGCCTTGTGTGGTGAAGGAACCTTCTAGAACAAGGCTCCATCTTTTTCCCACAAAGCTTCAGGTTCCCCATCACACTGACGCTGGGCTCAGTGGGCGTGCACGAGTGTGTGTGCACGAGTGTGTGTGCGAGTGCACGAGTGAGCTTGTGTGTGCACTCGCGGGCACGCAGCCCCACCGCAGACGGAACCCGTACCCCTTCCCCCGTGCCCCCTGCAACCCCCAGATCTGCCGAGAACCTCCATGTTCCTAAAGCCCCGCCCCCTCGTCCTCAGACGGGCCCCTTCCCCCCACCACCCCCCCACCCCGTGCAGAGACGCACCAGCCCCACAGCAGCACCCGGGCGTATGGACAGGGCCAGCCCTTGGTCCAAAGACCTGGCCAGGCCAGTCCCAGGTGGGGTGGGACCGCCCTTTACAGTTTATGGAGTGCACCCACCGGCGCAGGCTCGCCCTCTCCCCTGTGAGTGGAGGGTAGAGCACCCAAGGGCCCGGAGCCCTGCTGGGTCCCAGCCCTGCCCGACCCAGCTGCCACGGCGGCCACACAGCACGCGGAGCTGACCTCAGAGTTCGACCCTTCCTATGGGTGACCGGCTGCTGGCGTGGGGGCTCCCTTGGCCCTGCGGGATGGCGCCGGCCACGCAGGGGCAGGGGACGGGCTGCAGGCCCCGAGGCGGCCCTCCTGGGGCAGCACGTTCGGCGCCGGGAGCCGCTCCGCTGACCGGCTGACCCCGCAGCTGTGGGCGGCACCCGACCCGGTGCCGCTGACCCCCCCGAGGGGATCAGGTGTCAGGGCGCGCCACCTCTTCCTGTGGGTGAGGTGACTAATCCCCCACCCCCTGGAGAGAGCAGGGCCCCCTGCCTGGAACTGCAGCAGGACGGAACCTGACAGGGGGCAGCCCACGGCCCCTGCCCGGATTACGCCAAGTTATTTCTGGAAGGAGCTACAAGCTGGGTGTGGTCACCAAGGCCACCACGAGGCTCTTCCCACGGGGGAGGCTCCTCCAGGCCGTGGCTTGGGGCCGCCACCCTCGGGCTCCAGGAGGGTGTGGGGGATGGGCTGTCACCTCTGGGCCGGAGGTATGTGGCCGGAAGAGGCCCCAGTGGGTCAGGGCTGCCCCGGGCCCCTCGAGACCTCACCTCCTGCGGCCTCCAAGGGAGTCTGGCCTTGGGGAGCCCTTGGGGGCTGGGCGAGGGGTTTGTGGCTCTGACAGGGAAAGGGTGCTGCACGCCCACACTTGGAGAGCACAGACTGGGGGCGAGCTTCTGCCCAGGGACAGGGAGGCCAGGTGTTCCCAGAGACGGGGGACGAGAGGGACGCAGGATGCTGGGGAGCCTATGGCCGTGGCAGGCGGGCCAGGTCACAGTCGTCTCCTGACCTGTCCTCTCAGCATCCCCACACTGTCCAGGGACACTGGAATCTGGCGGACTCCCGCCTCCCCCAACCGGCCCTGACCCGTTGGAGAAGGCTGCTGGGTCTGAGGCCAGATCCCCGGGGCACAGCTCCACCGGACGCTGGAGACACAGGGCTGCCTTTGGGGTGCGCCCTTCCGGGTGGGCGAGGTGTCGGGGGACGCCTGTGCGGGACCTGGGCACGCCTCCGCCCAGTGACACAGTGACCCAGTGACACGGCCTGTGGACCAGAGGCTGCAGATGACGCGCCCACCTACAACAGAATGGCCAGAAGCCGCCGGGACCACTGCACCCCGGCTCGGCAGAGGGACTCACGACCCCGGACACCGCTGGGAACGTCAACAGGGCGCCGAGAACGACCGTTCCAGAGGGGAACACGCGGGGCACGGAACAGGACCCCACGAAGGAGCGGAGGCGAGGGCGCTGCCCAGGCGCGTGTCTGTGAGTCGTCTGACCCACGTGGCCCAGGCGGAGCTGCCTCGGTGTGGTCTGGGGAGGCGCGTGGCAGACGCGCGGTGTCAGGGCTGCCGCGACGTCCGGGTCCACGCGACAAAGGGCGCAGCGATGTGGGGGCCGGGGTGCACGCTGGCGGGCGTAGCACAGCAGCCCCCGTGCGCCGGAGGGGCTCCTGCCCGCTCAGCGGCCTGGCGGGACCGGGCACAGGTGGGCAGGCACACGCATGACTCGGAACAGAGCCACAGGGGAATAGGCGACTCGAGCGGCTGAGGTGGGAGATTGTGGCGTCCGCGGGTGGGGGTCCCAGTCTGTGCGGCTGCAGGCGTGGCTGAGGGGGGCCAGGACAGGCGGACAGGTGGCCGAGGTGGGCGTCGGGGTCAGCGAGGACCGGGCCTCAGCTCTGAGTGAGGGGGCCCTGGGGGTGTGGACAGAAGCGGTCGGGCTCAGCCTTGTCCTTCAGACCCCCGCTGCCGGAAGAAGGTGGAGACCAGCGGGGAGCGAGGCGGGGTCAGACGTAAAGGTGACAGGTCAGCCAACGCACAGGGGGAAAGAGGGCGGCTGAGGGAGGGGCTGGGAGGCGGGAGCTCAACAGTCCCCACCCCACCTCCCCCATGCTGCCCTGGACCCTTAGCTGCCCTGTGAGGATGTCAGGTGGACAGGCGGGTGCGCGGGGCCGGGACAGGGCAGGAAGCAGCCCTTGCTGGGCTGGGAAAGAGGGGGCAGCCCTCCCCCTGGGGAGTTGGGACATCAAAGGAGTGAATGTAGACAGAAAAGACGGGGGTGGGGGGGGCGTGTGGAGTGGAAGGTGGGGAGGGGAGGGGATGGGGAAGGGGAGAGGGAAAGGGACAGGAGAGGAAGGGAGGATGGGAAGGGGGAGGGAAGGGTGGGGAGGGGAGGGGAGGCGAGGGGAGGGGAGGGGGGCCTCCTGGGTGTCCTCCAGAGACAGGACCTGGTCACGGGAGAGAGTCCTTTGACCAGATTTAAAATACCAGCCGTGCCTGATGACCGAGGGTGTTGGCGACATAAAGTAGGGATTTCTGCCCACGGGGAGAGGGTGACCGAGGTGGGCAGGGCCTGGAGAAGGTGTTGGGTGTGTCCACAACCTCTGTAGTGGTGGCTTTCTCACAGGTCATAAAATCCACCCGTGTCACACCCAGGTTCTTATTTCTTTACAGAATAGAATAAAAATAAATTGTGGCGTTACCGTTATAAAGCCTGCGCGCTGGTCCTAGAGGAAAACACATTGCTGATGGAGGTTCGGGAGCCGAGGCGGGGTGAAAGCAAGACCCGCCCAAACCATTAGGCATGTTTCTGATGGCGGGGGGGGGGGGGGGTCGGCTAATGAGATTGTGATCAGCCCAGGGGCCGAGGACCCCTGCCTGCCCAGTGCCCAGCTCAGGGGCTGGCGGGAGGGTTCCGGGAAGGGTGCCCAGGACAGGTGCACGCTGACGTGGCCCCAGGAGGACAACAGCCCAGGCAAACAGTCTGGGTGGCCCCCTGTGGGGCTCAGGGAAGGCAGTGCCCCTGGCCCCGCTCAGTCTGTGCCCCCACCGAGCTCAGGGCTACCTCGTCCCTCGTGAGCACGCAGGTCGCTTGGCCTATGCAGTGACAGAGCGGGTGAGGTGCCCTGGGGCAGCCCGGGTGTCTGGAGTCTGTCCCCGGGTAGTAGCCCCGACCTCGCATCCCCTAGGCTTGGTTTTGAGGGTCCCAGGTAGCGCTCAGGGGTGAGGGGGCTTCTGCCCCCCCCCCCGGGCGCTCCACCCCGACAGCCACTGGCCGCGGGTCCCAGGGGGCAGCTCCAACCTCATCTAGTCTCATTTCTGGGGAGGGGTCTGTAGCCCCAGCCTGGACAAGATTCCTCTCGTCCGGCAGCCTTGCTCTGTCCTCAACTGGGGCTCCCAAGCCTCCACGGGGCCACGAGAGGGCCAGCCAGTGTTTCGTGGAAACCAGCAAGAACCCAGGCCCTGCGGAGAGCAGTGCTGGCAGGGGCCCCGGCCCACGGCGGGTGCAGTCACATTCCCGACACCTCACCTGCGTGGTGGGAACGCGCCTGGCTCGTGGAGCCAGCTGAGCTCTCGCTGGGACTCCGCCTGCCGGCCCAGGGTCATCACAGACGGCTGTCCCTGGCGGTGTCCACGCCTCTCCTCTCCGGGCATCGGGGAAATGGAGTCTCTCCAGCAACAGCTGGGCTGGTTTCGCGGCTCCGATCCTGGAGAAGAAGGCGCACGGCTCATTTGTCTGCCCGTGGGCGCACATCACACGCCCGCACAGTCCCGGCGTGACGTGCGGATGTGGACGCAAGATGGGGCACCGCAGCCCTGGGAACAGCAGAGGCCCCTCCTCCAGAGGGCCCTTCCTGGGCACAGGGGCGTGGCCCTGACCCTCACCCAGAAACGCACAGGTCCGGCTTACTGTGCGTGCCCCCGGGGGCCTTCCTGTGCACCTGCCTCCCCACCCCACCAACCCCTGCCCCCGCCAGGAGCCAGGTTCACAGTTCAGAGTTAAGTTCACCGACCACCGACCTGGGGGCAGTTCTAACTCCAGCCTGTGGTCTCATGGCCCAAGCACTGGGATGTAGTCTCGTGTCCCCAGGAGCAGCCTGGACGGTCACCCCTAGTGTGACCTACTTACCGATAGTCAGCTGTGTCCTGTACGTCAGGATGCAGCGGGGGGACACAGAACCCAAGCGAGAAGACACCCAGGAATGACCCCTGATGGCCTCCCCAGGAAAATGCAACCGGGGGAAGCCGGGGGCTTCTGGACCGTTCTGGGAGCGGCACCCTCTAAGAGGGATGGATCTCAGAGAGGGGTTGTGCTCTGCCACCCAGCCTCTCCAGTGCTGGGGCCTGAGCCAGGACAAGGCTGGACACACCCCCAGTCGCCTCTCCTGGCTACTCGTCACTGCTGGGTCTCTGCCGCTGGTGGGGTGGGCGGAGGGGGGCCCGGTCAGCGGGAGGGCCTGGGTGTGGATGCCCGGCCGCCCCGGTCACCCAGACTGACGCCTCTCTCCGCACGTCACGCACGTCACGGGGGACATGGCCCCAGGCTGTGTGGGCTGCATCTGGGCCCCTCTGCCAATCTTGTGGCTGTGAGTCAACACTGGGGTTCCTGGAGGGAAGGGAGGGTCTGTTTGCTGGTCGACACTTGCTAATCTCTGCCTTCCACTGGGACACTGGGGCCCCTTCTGCTGTGTTAATCCTGAGCAAACCAGGCTCCGTGGCTTGCCTCTGACCTTCTCTTCTGTCCACACCTGCCCTGCCCGCGCTGGGGCCACGCTGGGCCAAGCCTGCCCCCGCCCCCACCTCAGCGGGTTCCAAAATCTCCCTGCTGCTTCTTCTCTCTCCCATCCAGGGCTGCAGGCAAGGAGAAGGGAGAGGGAAGGTGGGGAGGGGGAGGCACCTGTACCGGGACCTGCCGCAAGGCAGGGCCCCCGGAACCGAGGGCCCGTGCACGCACATCTGACGCCTGCCTCCTTGGGCTGGCTCTGCCCTTGAGATGCAGTGGCTGCCCCTCCGCTGTCCCGTTTCCTCCTCCCCCACTGCTTCCCTTCCCCTCTGCTGCTCAGAAAGGAGCTTTCTGGAGAACATTTTATTTTGATGTGGTTTCAAGTTTATGGGTACAGAGAGCAGAAAGAGCTCCTGTCTGCCTTTATCCGGATTCACGGACGTCTGCACCTCAGTCTCTCGGCTTTGCTGTTTCCTCTCGTGTGTGCGTGCACTTGCCCACCGTCTGTATCCACGTGTGTTTTCTAAGCCACATGGGTTTGAGAAGCATGGCCTCCGCCCCTCCATAGGTGGGTGGGTGTCTCCTAGAGACAGGCCAGGGGTCGCCCTCAGCAGAGCCAGCAGGGGCATGCCACGCCCTCTAAACCAGGGCCCTCTGCGGTCTTGAGCCGGTCATGGTCGTCATGGCCGCACATTCTCCAGGATTCGATCCGGGACCACAGGTCCTCAGCCTTTCTCTGTGTTCCTTGACCATGGCCTTTTCGAGGGGTGCAGGCTGGTTATGTCGGACGGCACCCCCAAATCCGGGTCCGTGTGCAGCTCCCTCCCCCTAGGATGGAAAATATCAGTAAAGCTGTGCCCTCGGGGCGTGGCTTCTGGAGGCACCCCGCGTCGGGCAGAACCATCGCCGGGATGGATGTCCACCTGCGTCACTGGGCTCAGGGTGCGTGGGCCAGGTCTCTCCACTGCAAGCCACCCATGTTCCCCGGAACTGGGAGGGGTCTGATGGGCGGAGCTGGGGGGCCCGTAGAGAGCTGGGCGCCAGCCCGCCTCTCTAATCCCTCCCGCTCTCCTTAGTTGGCATTCCGATGCGGGGAGACCTTCCTCTTCTTTCCCCTTTGTCTATCTTTCCTTGATTCATCTATATCAGTAAAAGCTCATGAACTTCTATTTGCGGCGTGAATCTATTTAAAAATATAAACCCATCAGGAAAAGAGGGGGCTGGGAAGCTCTAAGCTTCCGTTCCCCGCGGACACACTGGCACAAACAAGGACGAGGTGAGCCAACTTTGCCACAGCTCGAGACCGTCAGAGGAGTGCAGAAACCAAGCTAGTGTCCCATCAAGAAAGGGCCGTCTTCAAAATGATAGGAAACCTTCGGGGCATTTTTTCCCATCCTTGCCCCACCTCCACCCCAGTGCAGTGGCAGTTTTGGCCTTGGCCTGGCAGCCCAGTTTCCCATTATTCCTCCCCCAAAACTAGAAGGAGCAGAGAATGCCTTGTCTGCAAATTATTGTGTACGTCTGTTCTAACCTGTCTGGTGGGTACCTGAAGGGCTGACACAAGGTGCTCGTCTCCGTTTTGCTTAACTTGGGACCTGGGTGGCCAAAGCAGTGGGCGCAGCTCTTGTAAGCCTCTAGGTGACCACAGACCCACAGATTCCTGGAGCAAGAGGTCACAGGTGGAGACACGCAGTGGTCCACCTTCAGCCTGCACCGATTCAAGTGGGGCTCTTCGGGAAATCAGGACGTGAAAGCAGCTATGTGCAAATGGGAGTTTGGAAAGCCACATCCTTGTTCGGGCGAGAGCCCCGGGCTCAGAGCAAGCCTGCCCGAGTGCTGAAGACCCGTCCCAGCACAGAGCCAGGCTGTAAGACTGCAGAAGCTCGAGATAGTTGAGAAAACTCTACCAGAGCATGAGCTGAACACGAACTAAAGGAGCAGAGACTTCAGTGATCACACCAGGCAAGGAACAGTCTTTGTAAAAATGTTTGGACAAGTCTCAAAACAAATGGACGGGACAGCCTTCAACAACAATGAAAGGAAGCAAGGAAATAAGGAAGGAGGAAAAGACAAGAGAGGAGAAGAAAAGGCAGAGAAAAAAACCCAGCAAACACTGGAGAAGGCGGAGGTTCTAATTTCCAGAGCTACCATAATTATAATAGTCACGTCCCCAGTTTTCAACGAAAATCACAAGGCTCACAAAGAAGACATGGCCATTAAAAGGAACAAAATCATCCCTGAGGAAGATTTACTGGACAAAGACTTTGGAACAGCCGCGTTAGGTGTGCTCGGAGGGCAAAGGGGACCCCAGATGGGAAACAAAAGGCAATCGGGAAACCGATGCGCGCCCAGAATGAGAATGTCGACAAAGAGATAAAAACCGTTATTAAGAAACCAGACAGGAATTCTGGAGCTGAAACGTACAACAACTGAAGTGAGGAATTTGCTAGAAGGAAAGAGTGAGAAGTGCGCGTGCAGGAGGGGCCCTGGGCTGACATACGCACGGTGAGTGACCCAGGAGAGAAGAGAAAGGGGCAGAAATGTTGGAAGGAATAAAAGTGAAAACTTCCAAGAAGCACGACAATCTCCAAGTAGGATCAACTCCGAGACATCGACACCGACACACATCGTAATCAGACCGCTGAGAGACGGAGAGACGACCCTGGGAGGACCGGACAAAAGCATCTTGGCACGTGCATGTTCTCTCCACCGAGAGACTGTCGGCCGACTTCCCACCAGAAATCTCAGGAGACAGAAGGGAGTGGATGGTAGATGTGAAAGTCCTGGAAGAAACAGCAGCCAGCCACGAATTCTCTCTGGGAGAGCTGCTGTCCTTCGAAAACGAGGGAGAGATTAAGACATTTCCAGAGAAACAGAAGCTGAGGGAGAGCCTTATTACAAGACCTGCTTTACAAGGAGTACGGAAAGGAGCCCCTCGGGCTGCAGTGAGGGACACCAGACGGTAAACCAAAGCTGTACGAGGGAGTGAAGGTCTCCTGTACAGCTAAGCATGTGGGCAAATATAGAAGTCAACGTTACTATAATTTCTGTTTGCCCCTCCACTTTTAATTTTCTACGGGATTTAAAAGACAAATGCATGAAAACCACAAATCCGTGTTGCTGGGCGTCCACGGTAGCAGCCGTGACTTGTCACCACAGCAGCACAAGGAGCGTGTATACCGGAAGCTCGGTCGGCAGCAGGCCCACGTGGGCTACGGAAGCCTGGGGGGTTGGGTGGCCCCACGAGCAGCACAAAGACGCCCATGGAATAGACACCAAAGGAAATGAGAAGGGAATCAAAAGCCATCACTACAGAAAACCAACGAAGCACAAAAGAAGGCAGTCACGGGGGAAACAAAGAACCAGAAGACGCACAGGAGGCGAACAGTAAGCCGGTGGAGGAGGAAAGTCTGTCGTTGTCAGTACTCACTGCACATGTGCACAGGTTGATTTAATCAGGGTTGATTTATGAAACCCCCGCTAGGGGCACCTGGTGGCTCCGTTGGTGAAGCATCTGACTTTGGCTCAGGTCACAAACTCACAGTTTGTGGGTTCGAGCCCTGCGTCGGGCTCTGTGCTGACAGCTCGGAACCTGGAGCCTGCTTCCGATTCTGTGTCTCCTCTCTCTCTGTCTCTCTCTCTCTCTCTCTCTGTCTCTCTCTCTCCCTCCCTCTCCGTCTCTCTCTCTCTCTCCCTTTCTCTCAAAGATAAATAAACATTAAAAAAATTAAATAGTTAGGAATGCCAGCTGGTGCAGCCACTCTGGAAAACAGCATGGAGGCTCCTCAAAAAACTAAAAATAGAACTACCCTACGACCCAGCGATTTCACTACTAGGTATTTATCCAAGGGATAGAGATGTGCTGTTTCAAAGGGACACAGGCACCCCCATGTTTATAGCAGTGCTATCAACAATAGCCAAAGTATGGAAAGAGCCCAAACGTCCATCGACAGATGAATGGATAAAGAAGATGTATATACATACAAGGGAGTATTACTCGGTAATCAAAAAGAATGAAATCTTGCCATTTGCAACTACGTGGACGGAACTAGACGGTATTATGCTAAACGAAATTAGGCCGAGAAAGACAAATATCATATGACTTCACTCATATGAGGACTTTAAGAGACAAAACAGATGAACATAAGTGAAGGGAAGCAAAAATAATATAAAAACAGGGAGGGGACAAAACAGAAGAGACTCCTAAATATGGAGAACAAACTGAGGGTTATGGGAGGGGTGGTGGGAGGGGGGATGGGCTAAAGGGGTCAGGGGCACTAAGGAACCTACTCCTGAAATCTTTGTTGCACTATATGCTAACTAATTTGGATGTAAATTAACAAATAAATAAATTTAAAAAAAAAACAAAGAAAGAAAAACACAATCCAAGGGCACCTGGCTGGGCCAGTCGGTAAAGCACACAGGTCTTGATCTCGGGGTCCTGAGTTCAAGCCCCACGTTGGGTGTAGAGATTACTTAAAAATCAAATAAAACAAAACAAAAATAAAAGTAAATAAGAACCACAACCCAACGACACGCTGTCTGTAAGACACTTGCGTTAGAGCTAAGGTTACAGACAGGTTACGTGTGAAAAGCTTAGAAAAATATCTTCCGTGCAAATGGTAACCAGGAGAGAGCTAAGGCGGCCGCATCAGCACCTCATAAACTAGACTTTAAATTCCAAACGGTTAGAAGAGTCGGAGAAGGGTATTATGGGTAAAGAGTCAATTCAGCGAGAAAATGCCGCAATTGCAAACCAAACCTCACGGATGCAACCACGCGCAGAGAGGCGGAGAGGCCCAGGTGACAGTCGGAGGCTCCCGCCCTGCGCTCCCGGGACGGCAGAAGAGCCAGGCGGAGGGCTAAGAAGGAAACGGAACTGGCACCCACTATGAACCCCCTGCCCCACACGCGGACACTTGCTAGGGCCGAAGACACGTGTGCCCCCAGTTCACACAGAACGTCCTCCCGCCTAAACTGTACCTGATGCTCCAAACAGGTTTTAATACATTCAAAAATATTACAATCATGCGGGCTCTTTTTTCCCGACTACAAAGGGGCTAAGCTACGGACCGGTAATGGGAGAAAAGTGTAACGTTCACAAATACGTGCAAGTTAACACGGTCTCAAGCAACCAGCGGGTGAAAGGAGAGATCAGGGGGCACGGGGAGATCAATGAACACGGAAACACAACAGGCCAGACTGTGAGTCTCGGCGAGGGGGCGCCAAGGGGGACGTGCCCAGGTGTGACGCCGGACGGGGAAGACCCCAGGTCCATTACCGAGTGCACACCTCACGGCCCCAGAAACAGGAGGGAGCTCGCGGAGGGAAGGCAGCGATAACGGTTTGAGCAGGGATAAATGAGGCAGAGGCAGCAGAGCAAACCAGCGAAACCAAAAGTCTGGTCTGAAAAGACCAGCGGACAGACCGCGAGCTGGGTGGACGGAGAACGAGTGGGAAGCCGCGAATGGCTAAAACCGAAGGTGGAAGGGGCGTTACTATTGGTTTTACAGACACAAATTCGATCGTGAAGAATGCCATGAGCAATTTTGGTTGCATTTGATAAACTGGAAGAGAAGGACCAAGTCCTAGAAACGCACGATCTAACAAAACAGACCCATAAAATACGGGGACCTGTGGTCAGCGGGGAGCGTGAGTCAGTAATCGCGTCCCTCCCCGCCAAGAGAGTCTCAGGACAAGAAGGCCTCACGGGGGAGGCCACCAGGTACTTACAGAAGAACTAACACCAATACTTCTCAGACTCTTCCGGAAAACTGCAGAGGGGGGACAGCTCGGACGGCACCGTGGGGCCATCGTTCCCCTGACACCAAAGCCAGACAAAGACAGAAGAAGAAAGGAAGGAAAACAACACCACAGGCTGGTGTCTGTCACGAATACTGGTGCAAACGATCCTCAATAAAACACTAGCAAAGCAACTGAGATGCGTGTTAGAGAGTTAGACACTATGACCAGGTGGGGTTTATTCCCTGGATGCCAGAACGGTCCGGCTTCCACAAATCAGCCAGTCACCCCATTCATGGAATGGGGGGGGGCACATGATCATCTCGATTGATGCAGAAAAAGAATTTGCCAGAATTCAAGACCCTTTCAGAATAAACACGCTCAACCACGCAGGATTAGACGACAACTATGTCACGGTAAAGGGGACATACGGCAAGCGCCTGGCTCACGTCCTTCCCGGTGGCGAAAGACGAGAGCTTTGCCTCTCGGATCGGGGGCAGAGATGTCGGCCCTTACCACTCCCGCTCAGCAGAGCCCCGGAGGCTCTGGCCAGGGCCACCAGGCAAGAAAGAGAAACACAAGGGGCCTGGATTGAAAGGGGAAAAGACAAACTATCCCTGGTCACAGATGACATGATCGTACACATAGAAAACTCTGAACTCCACCGAAAACCTGTTCGAGCTTCCTGCGGTCTGCACGTGCGCCCCCCCAAGTCCACGTGTTGAAGTCCTAACCCCAAGAGGTGACGGTGTCAGCAGGTGGCTGGGTCACGCGGGTGGGGCCCGCAGGAAGGGGGGCCGTGCCGTCGTCGTGGTGGGAGAGCCCCCACGGAGCCCCCTGACCCCTTGTCGGCAGTCTGCACCCCAGGAGAGAGCCTTCCTTGTGCACTGTTGGTGGGGATAGCGGAAGGCTGTAGTTATTACGTAGTTTGGCGATTCCTTACAGAGTTAAACAGAATGATGATGTGGCTCGCAAGGCCGCTCCCAGGCTCTCCCCCAAAGGAGCCGGAAGCAAGGACTCGACCCGCATTCACGGCAGTCAGAAGGTAGCCCCACGTCCATCCACAGGTGACCGCGTAAGAAAACGCGACGTATTCAAATGGTGGGATGTTATGGGGCTTTAAAAAGGTAGGGGACTCTGACACCTGCCAGCACGCGGAGCCTTGCAGACACGAAGCTCAGCAAACGAGCCAGACCCAGAAGGATAAATAGTGCAGATCGCACTCACTTGGGCCCTGAATCGCCACATCCAAGACAGAGAGCAGACAGCGGGCGCCAGGGGCCAGGGTGGTGGGGTGGGAGTTGCGTGACGGACAGAGTCTCTTACAGGAAAGACCAAAGGTGATGGAGAGGGGGGTGGGGACGGCTGCGCCCCGCCCCACACAGAGCTGTCACTCTCTCTTGGCCCCTCCAAGGCCCCTATGACTGCCCCACGTGGTCCTGTGTGCTGTTCTTTTTGTCCCAGAGGAATCCCCAGTGCCCAGGGCAGTACCACCCTGGGGCTCAGAATTTGCTAGAAGAAAGGAAGGAAGGAGGGAAGGAGGGAGGGAGGGAGGGAGGGAGGACACGGGCAAGGAAAGCCATCTCTGTGAAGACCAGGAAAAAGCAAGAGGAGAGGTTGAGGGCTCGTAGTCTCCCCCCAGGACAGGGTGGGAGGAAGGGGCGCGGTCCTTCTCACAGTGGGGGTGGCTCCAGGGACCAGGATGCCCATCCCCCCACAGCCACCCCCCCACCCCCAATGCTGTGACTTGCCCTCCTGACCATCAACCAGTCACCAGCTGGGCAGTCATGGCCACCTCTCTGTATCCCAAATGCCCAGCCCGGGGCCGGGGAGCTCGGTAATGTCTGTCGATGGACGAGCTGGAGGTCTGGGGGGCCGTGGTGGCCCAACGCGTCCTCCACCTGCTCTTTCTGGAGCAGGCTGACACCCTGAGTCTCGCTGGAAATACCCTGAGTGCACTGGGAGCAGGGACAAGGCCCAGCCATCCCAAGGCCCAGGAGAGAGTGGCTTGTCACCCACGTGTGGGGTCTGGGGTGCTTCCCGGCCTGGGCCCGCTCCCCACCTGGATCACCCAGCCTAGGGCTGTCAGGTTCTAGCCTGTTAGTCACAGCACTGGGCCCCTTAGCTATGGGGTGTAGACCAGGGCTGCCGGGACCCCCACAGTTCCCATCCGTTGTGGCCACACAGAGAGGTCTGGGGACCAGGAGGCAGCAGGTGTAAAAGGCCCCACTCCCAGGCCAATCCAGGGCGGGCTCTGAGCAGACCTAGAACCAGCCATGCCTGTGACTCCCCAGGGCCATGCCCCGATCCTCCTGGACCCTCCTCCTCGGTGCCCCGGCTGGAGCCGGGCACACCACCAGACTCAGTAAATGCCTGAGGCTTGAGGCGTCCTGGGGCCCTCGTCCTCGGTCTGCACTGTGGGCGGTTGGGGAGGGGTGAGCTCACACACCCCTGTGTGCCCACCAAGCCCTCGAGCGACGTGCACCAGGCTGCGGGGCCGGGCTGGGGCAGTCGGCCTCTGGGTTCCGCACGGCCCCGTGGGGTCCGTGGGCGGGGAGAGGCCCTGCGAGCCCGAGGATGGACAGGCTCCTGGCGTGGCCCCTGGGGGAGCCCTCCCGAGCCCCAGGAGGCCTGTCCTTCCCGGCAGCCCGCTCCCCTTCCTTGTCTTCTGTCCTCGGCTCTCTCAAGTGTGAACAGGTAAACTGGTTGAGCAAACAGGCTGGGCTCCGAGGCACTGCATCCGGGATGTCTCAATCCCCACCCGCCTCTGCCCAGAGGACGGTGCTCGTGGGGAAGGACCGGGGCGGTATCTGGGCCACGCCGGCAGCCAGGTCTCCGCCTCGCTGGTCCGGTGCACTTCCCGAGTGCCTACTGTGTGCCAGCTGTGAACAGTGGTTGAGGCCCGTGCCCGCATGAAGCCCTCCTTCCGAGATGACAGACATGAAGCCCTAAATAATTTACATTCGGGTCCCGAGTCCAAGGTGGCCCGGGTTGCTCACGTGTGTGGGGGGTGAGGACCGCCCCACACGGGGCTCACGGGGGCCCTCTGAAGGCTGCAGGGTGCTAGCTGAGTCGGGGGTGGGGGGCTGAGGACGTGCCAGCAGGGCACGGACTGAGAGGGGGACTCGGGGGAGCAGAGGGGGTCGGGCCACGAGGGTTCAGGCTGCGGGAGCCCCGGAGGTTGGCAGGGCCGTGCACACAAGCGGGCCCCATGCCAGGCCCGACTGCAGGAGCTCTGATGTCAGGAAACTGCACCCTGCAGGTACAGGGGGTGCGCCCTGCTCTGGAGATGCCAGCAGCCAAATGAAAAGCAGATCCCGGGACCTCCGAGGCGAGCCTGCAGACATGCACAGCCCGGGCAGCGGGGCTCAGCCGTGCTGAGGGGTGGCGGCCGGGCACATGGTTGAGAGCTTTGAAGACAGCTTGCCCGCTGCCCCCAGCAGCTCTGCGTCTATGAATTAACCCCGAAAAGGCAGGTGCAGAGGACACAGGGTGCACCTCGCTGCTCCCCACCCAAACCAATGGGGAAGCCGCCCCCACCCGCAGGGGCCCTGTGCTCCCCACGGGGGGCTGCCCCGCAAGGCACTCAGATGCACTCAGGCTTGGGGTGAGGATGCCCAGAGTAAGACGCCTGGAGTGTGAGTCAGAGGGGACTGCGTGCCAGGCGAGCCGTTCACCGACCAGGGGAGAGGTTATCGTGTGACCCCCCCCCCCGCCCCCGCAGCCCAGCCGCGCCAGCTGGGGAGCGGGGCCTTCGTGGCTCCCAGTCGGGGCAGTACTGGGGTTGAGACACCAGCCCCTGGTGTCCCATCAGCCCTGCTGGGGGCCCTCCAGGGGCACATCGGCGTGTGCGTGCATCGGCCGGGGCGCAGCCTGCCCTCAGGGGAGGGTCCTGGCGTGTCAGGGACCTGGAGAACAATAGCTTCCTTTGTGCCACCCCGCCTCAGGTCACCGAGCCAGCCTCAGGAGCGAGGTGAGGGTCAGACATGCCAGGGCAGGTGCTGGGCAAGAGCCAGCCGGGGTGTCCACTCTGTTTCTCCTTAAATCTGAACTTGGTGACAGAGATGTGCAGGGGGCACTGGTGAGCATGGCCAAGGTCTCTTGGCATGAGTCTCCCCCACCCCCAAGCTCTGCAGACCAGGACCCCACCCTCCACATGCAGCTGACCCCAGCCCAGCTGAGCAGGAGCCCCAGGCCCCCAGCGATGACAGCCTCACGTCGCTCCCCACTCCTCAGGGACCTGCGGTCAGCGCCCCGGGCCAGTGCCCCAGGCTGCCCGATGGCAGAGGCCTTGTCCCCTCCAGTCCCGTCTCTCAGCCTCAGCCAGGCTCCGGGGCCAGGGGGCTCAACATGGGGACTGAGTGTGTGGGCGTGCTGACCACCTCCCCACTGCGTGAGTGAGGCAGGACCAGGGATGCCCAGGCGGCCAGCCCCTCTCCGATTCTCAGAAGCTGTGGGGTGGGATAGGGGGGCAGGGGTCCTGTGAATCTGGGGCCCACAGCCACAAATCCTTCCTCCTCCAGGCCTCTTTCCTGCCTCGGCCCCTCCCCAAGAGCAAACACACGTGGTCGGCTCGGGGGAAAGGACAGAGCCCTGCGTTGCCCAGGAGCTGGGCTTGGGGCCAAGACTTCTTGCTATATAAGCCCCGGGGCCCCCAGGGAGCGAGCACCGGGGCCCTCTGCCTCTCTGCCACCGGCCCGCTGCTGTGCCAGCCCCCAGGATGGGTGCCCCGAGTGGGTGCCTGGCGTTGGCCTGGGCCCTTGTGGCCCTGCTCTTGGTGCAGAGGACAGGTAAGACCGAAGACTGGCTCCCTCTCTGCCGCAGACAGGCCTCCGCAGGCCACTGCCCGGGGTTTCTCCTGCCTGAAATGGGCAGGGCGGCCCCCGCCCCGTGTGTCCTCAGTGGGGCCCCAGGCTCTCGGTCTGCACCCAGGAGAAGCTGGGTCCCCTGGGCAAACCACCAAGAGGGTCAGGGGGTGCGGGCCGGGTGAGGGGCCCAAGGCTGGCACCTCTCAGGTCCCTGTGAGGGCGACAGCCGTCAGGGTAGTTCCTGGAGCGGCTCCAAAATCCCTCCTCAAATCAGGGTTGGAACAGCTGACAGGTGATGAGCCCGCGGACCCACGTCACACACTTCGCACCTCACCTGCCGCGAGGCTCTTCCCAGCCCGCCAGCCCGCCTCTCCTCTGCCTCTCCTCTGCCGTAGGCCTGGGCTCTCAGCATCAGGGGGAAGCACCCGCAGCCCTAATACTTTCTGTCAATATGAAAGATACGGCCTCAGGGGCTGCCTGGGTGACGCCCGGCAGGGCTGGCCTGGAGCCCCGGCCACCGCGGCCCCGGCCCTGAGCTCTGCTCCCGCAAGGCCTCCTCCCTGGGCCCCAGCCGGGCTCGGGGGTCTGGGCAGGTGGACACCGGCCTGAGCTCTCTCCATCTGTGGTGGGGCGGGGGGGGGGGGGGGTGCTGGTCTCCCAGAGCCCCTGCCCCAAGCCGCCTCCCAGCAGGGCTGGGAGGTGGGGACTTCCTTCCCCGCAGCAGCTCCCACTGGGCGGCCACATACCCCAGCCTGCTGTGCTCTTCGGGTGCCTGTCTGCTGGTTTGCGCAGCCGGGGCCCCTACTCAGCCGGCTCCTCCGGGCTCCTCTGGGCCGCGCTGGCCTCAGACCAGGTGCCCGGACACTGGGCCTCCCCAGCGAGCCGCCTCAGCCTCCACCCGCTCCTCTCTGGGGGGCCGATCCCATTAGGGGCAGGCAAAAGAGGTCTGAGATGAGGGGGCTCACGTCAGAGGGTGCGCTGTCGACCACGGCGTTGGGGGGGGCAGTTGGCAGCGGGCATTTTCCTGGCTGGGCAACGGAGCCCGGGTCTCGCGAGGCCACCGGCCCCGAGTGGAGCCACTTCTCGTAGAAACCGGCCCCGGACGGGGATGGGGGTGCAGGGTTCGCTGCACCTGCGGGAAAACCCCTGGTTTCTGACTGTGGGGCGCGGCCCGTGGGGCAGGGGTGGACAGAGGCAGCAGCTGCGGGAGGGGCCTTCCGAAGGAAAGCGCGTCGCCCTGCCAGTGCCCGTGGCTTGCGTGCGTCCGAGGTCCCCGTTGGGAAGGACGGACAGGAAGCTGTGGCGGTGGCCTCACCCGACCCCTTGCCGCGCTGGCCCCACCAGGGACACGGGGACGTCGGGGGCCCGACACCCACTCCCCGACAAGGCTCAGTGTTAGGCCGAGTGTGCAGACCCCCGGCAGACGGAAGGAAGCAGTACAGGGCCCGTGCGGAGGGGTGCCCAGCCTGAGCCCGGCAGAGGGGCCAGGGAGGGCTCCCCGCGGCCCCCCAAGGCAGCGAGGGGCTGTGGGGGCCGGGCCGCTGGGGGCGAGCACCTGGGCGTAGCCGTGGTCGGGCCGACGGAGGAAGCCCTGCTTGCAGGCGGTGGGCACACAGGCCACCCGGGCAGCCATCCGGGGACCCAGGCCTCCAGGCCCGCCCCCACCATGATGGATGGTTCTAGCTCGAATCTCACTCTGGTCTTGGGTTTCTGCTAAGTCACGCCCAGAAGCCTCCCTGACTGCGTGTGTCCTTCTCCCCAACAAAACTGGTCTTTGTCCTTCTCCAGGGGACTCCTGGGATGGGGCCGAACCCTCTTCTAGGGTGGCCAGGGTCAACGGGCCAACGCCTTTTCCTGATTCCATTCTCCTGCCCTGAGCCAGCAGCTGCCGGGTCACGGCCAGATGAGGCAGCACTCTGCATTCGTAGATGGGGAGAGCGGGAGTCAGGGCAAGGCCACCAGACGCAGCTCCCCGCGGGAACCCCCATCCCTGCGGAGGCCACGACAGCTACCACGTAGAGTGGTGGGGAGGCTAGACCCTGTCACGTGGCCACCACCCTGAAGCCTGCCCAGGAAGGGATGGCAAATGTCCAGCTTCTCACTGACTCCCGTCCCCTTTCCCTGCAGAGACCCAGGGCAGCACGGAGCCTGCTGTGAACAGTCGGAGGGTGGACGTCGGTATGCGGCCTGGGTTCTGGGCGCTGAGGCCTCCCGAGCAAACAGAAGGGGCTGGGCTCGGGGTGGGCCGGGGATCTGGACAGGGGAGGGGGGGACAGACCCCTTTCTACAGGAGCCACATGTCACACAGAGACCCTCCTGGATCCCACCTGCCCACAAGAAGGGATCGCAGAGGGGACGGGCCAAAGAAAGCTAAGGCACAGAGCAGAGAGGCCAGGATGCTCACACACGTGCACACACGGTCATGTACTTGGACATGTGTGTGCGCGCGCACGCACACACACACACACACACACAGTAAAGCCCAGGCCAGCAGTGTGTCCTGGGTGGATGGGAGGGTCCGGGAGGGGACAGCCCTAGTCCTGGGGCTCCCTGGGCTGAGTCAGGGCGGCTGCTGCCCCAGGCCGGCCTGTGAGGAGGATAGAGGTCCCGGGAAGGAATGTTCCCGGCCATTCCCTGTCTGGCCACATTTCTAGTGTAACCCAGCCCTCACTCTGCAGCTCGGAGCATGACCATCATCCCGCCCATCACCGTCTTCCCCACCATAAGCTGTGAGTGGATGCTGCCCACTGCTGATGGGGCGGGGGCTTGCCCCTCTGGGGGCTGACGCCGGGGTGGTATGGGCAGCTGCATGGCCTTGGGCCTGGCTGGGAGCGCTCCCTGTGGACAGTGGTGGGGGCCGACCCCGGATGCTGGGGCAGGGCTCTCAGCCCTCCTGGCTGCCCTCTGAGCTCCCCGTCCCCAACCCGGAAAAGGCTACCCGTGGGTGGCTGGGCGAGGCCTGTGGCATCTGCCGGGGCCTCACCACGCTCTCCCCACAGCCATGAACGCCGCGCACAACGGGCGGGTGTGCAGCACCTGGGGCGACTTCCACTATAAGACCTTCGACGGGGACGTCTTCCGCTTCCCGGGCCTGTGCAACTACGTCCTCTCCATGCACTGCGGGGCCGCCTACGAGGACTTCAACATCCAGGTCCGCCGCGGCCTGGCCGGCTCCAGGCCTACCATCACCCACATCATCCTCAAGACCCAAGGGCTGGTGCTGGAGGCCTCCAACGGCTCGATCCTCATCAACGGGCAGCGGTGAGCCTGGTCCGGGCTGGGGAAGGGCCGGGCCTCTGGGGCGGGTTCTGGGCTCAGGGCTGCTGGGGGGTGCCGCACCCTGCTGCGCACCCTGGCCCTGGGAGGACCAGAAATTTCCACCCCAGGGAGGAGCTGCCCTACAGCCGCGCTGGCGTCCTGGTAGAGGAGAGCAGTGTCTACATCAAGGTTGACGTCCGGCTGGTGCTAACCTTCCTGTGGAACAGAGAGGAAGCTGCCCTGGTGAGGACGCCCCCACCTGTCCGCCCCCCCCCCAACTGGGGACAGCCTCCCAGAGGCTGGAGCTGCCTCTCTTCTGCCCCCAGCTGGAGCTGGACCCCAAGTACGCCAACCAGACGTGTGGTCTGTGTGGGGACTTCAACGGACTCCGGGCCGTCAACGAGTTCTATGCCCATAGTGAGTGCCCCCTGGGGCAGCAGGAAGCTGAGGGCTGGCTTGTCCTGAGGAGGCCTGGAGGGGGCAGCCTTGGGGTGGCCTTGCCCAGGCTCTGGGTGGACAGCAAATCGGGGTGGGGGCAATACTCAAGCCAGCGACGCCCCAGAGAGGTTTCAGGTGCCCTGGGCACGGGCAGGGGTCCCCAGGCAGCCATCCCCTGCACTGGCCCCACGGTCCCTCAGCACCCTGACCCCAGCATCTCTCCACAGACGCCAGGCTGACCCCTCTCCAGTTTGGAAATCTCCAGAAGCTGGATGGGCCCACAGAGCAATGCCAGGACCCCCTACCTTCCCCCGCCAACAACTGCACGGATAGGGTGAGCGCCTCTCTGGGGCCCGGCCTGCCCCCAGCCCCTGCTCTCCCGGGATGGTCATCTCAGGCTTCCTGGGCTGGGCCCTGAGGCATCTGGGCGGAGGGTCTCCAAGCCCTGGGGGGGGGGGGGGGGGGGGGGGGGGCCGCCCCCCCCGCGGGGGGGGGGGGGGGGGCCAGGGGACACGGCTTCCACCGCGGAGACACCGTCTGAGCTTCCACCTACCAAACGAATGTTCTACGTGTGCGGGCCGTGGGCTACACGTGTGCCCATCCGTGTATGCGAATACATGTCCACACATAGGCGGTCCGTGGTGGGCACTTAGGAGCCCAGCTGAAGAAGCCCCACGTGGGAGCAGGGAGGCCTCCACGGGTAGAAGCGGCCCGGAAGCTCCAGGAGGCCCAAACCAACAGACGCTCCCTCAGAGCCTCAAGTCAGGATGTGGAGCCCAGGCCCAGCCGCCTGGGGGGCAGGGGCAGGGGTGCTGGGGAAAGAAAAGGGGTTCATCAGTGGGCACACAGGTGCCCCTGTTTCCTACTTCTCTTTGCATCGCACCTTTCCTGGGTGCTCACACCATGGGCAGATGTGGCCTGGAGCCCTGAGTGGGTGGGTGGAGTCCACGGTCCCGGGTCACTCCCAGAGCCAAGCTGAGCCCTGCACCCAGCAAGTTCACCGTGGCTAAAGAGAAGGACGGGTGGGTGGACGGACTGATGGAGAGATGCAAGGGACCTCAAGGGGGGTAAGGGGCCCCCTGGCCTGGACCCCCCACAAGCACCGAGGGTGGAGGGTGCCACACCTTTGTGCTCCCCAGGAGGGCATCTGCCACCGCACCCTGTTGGGCCCGGCCTTCTCGGAGTGCAACACGCTGGTGGACCCTGCCGTGTACGTGGCCGCCTGCACCCAGGATCTGTGCCGCTGCCCGGACTGCCCGTGTGCCACCTTCGCCGAGTACTCCCGCCAGTGTGCCCATGCAGGGGGACAGCCCCAGAACTGGAGGGGCCCTGACCTCTGCCGTGAGTGCCCCCTGGCCGGGGCCAGCACCAGGCCCCACGCCCACACTGGGTCCCGGTGGGGAGGGGGCGAGGGCCAGGACATCTGGCATCTGGCTGGGGACCCAGGGCAAGTGGAGTCATTTGGGGGGTCCTACAGCGAGAGGGTGGGCAGGGGGACAGAAGGGAGTGTGGGGGGCCCAGAGGGAGGACCCGGCCTTGGTACAGCCCAGGTGGGCACAGGAGGGCCGCCTCACCCAGAAGACAGTGGGAGTTAGGAGCAGGGAGGCCCAGCCTCCCAAGACGAGGGGCTCCCCGGCTCAGCTGTGACCTTGGGGAGCCCTTGATGACACGGGAAAGGTTGGGAGCAGCCGCCTGCCCCACGCCCGGGTGGCTTTCCGGGGCCCAAGCGCTGCCTCCCCCCACAGCCTGGACCTGCCCCCTCAACACACAGCAGCGGGAATGCGGCTCGCCCTGCGCGGACACCTGCTCCAACCCAGAGCGCTCCCAGCTCTGCGAGGACCACTGTGTGGATGGCTGCTTCTGCCCCCCAGGCAGGTCCTCCTGGCCCTTGGGGACTGTCCCCCAGCCAGGCCCTCTGCCCCCAACGCCCCTCCCCCCCGCCGGCTGCCTCCAGTCACTGTGTTGCCAACACCCGACCCAGCCCGCTCACAACCCCCTGCCCCCCGCTGCCCGCAGGCACGGTGCTGGATGACGTCACCCACACGGGCTGCCTGCCCCTAGAACAGTGTCCATGCACCCACGGCGGCCACACCTACGCCCCGGGGGCCTCCTTCACCACCAGCTGCAGCTCCTGGTACGCCTCCTGGCTGCCCCTGCCCTTGGTGGGGGTGCATGGGAGGGGATCTACCTCCCCCACACCACGCTTCCTCTGTTCATGGCCTCCCTTCCCAGCACCTGCTCTGGGGGGCTGTGGCAATGCCAGAACCTTCCGTGCCCTGGCACCTGCTCCGTCCAGGGCGGGTCCCACATCTCCACCTACGATGAGAGACTCTACGATGTGCATGGGGACTGCAGCTACGTCCTGTCCAAGGTACGGTCCCAGTCCCCACCTGCTGGGCCTGTCCTGGGACTCTTCAGGCCTCCCTGCCCCTGGGAAGGGTCCTGTGATGGCCATCAGAGTAGGTGAAGCCCCCCCCCCCCGGTCCCCTCCTGGGGTTCCATCCCCAAAGGGAAGCCCCTAGGCTCACATTCGCGGGGCCAAGGGGCTCCCAGGCCCCGAGATGAGCTGCCTGCCTGGAGGTGGCCACAGGGGCCAGCCTCCACCCCACACGCACGGTCCTGGGAACAGGGGCGCCACACACGAACACGCAGCCCCCTCCCTGCCCGCGCTCGGGAGTGGCCGACCCCCAGCGCCCTGGTGGGCCTTGCCCTGTCAGAAATGTGCAGGCAACGGCTTCACTGTGTTGGCCGAGCTGCGGAAATGTGGCCTGACGGACAACGAGAACTGCCTCAAAATGGTGACGCTCAGCGTGAACGGCGGGGACACGGTGGGTGAGGGTCCTGCTGGGAAAGGGGGTGGGGACAGGGTGGAGATCTTGGTCTGACGTTAGGGGCCAGGGGTCCCTTCCGGGCTCTGACTCTGCTGGGCTGGCCCCTGGGGAGTGCTCCCCGGCCGGGCAGGCTCCTCCCCCAGCTGACCTGGCCGCTTCCTCTCACCAGATCATCCAGATCCAGGCCAGCGGCGGGGTATTCATGAACTCCGTGCACACGCGGCTGCCTGTGTCAGCAGGTACGCGGTCTGGGACAGCCGGCCGCACTGCAGCCAGGTGGTCTGCTCCCAAGGCTGGTTCTCTGTGGCCCGGGGCAGTTCCGGAATATCCCATGGTTGGTTTCTCATCTGCACGTGGGATGTCAACGCTCCCCCCTCGGCTACCGTGGGGACCGGGGCCGAACACACTTGGGGCGCAGCCTCTCGGGGATCACGAGTGGTCACTGCCAATACCACCTGCAGAGGGGCTCCGCCCACCCCTGGGTCCCGGAGCGGTGGCGCGGGCCCACCAGATGCCTGGATCCTCCCAGGCCATCCCTAGGAGACCCTCCCTGCTTCCTGGCTGTCCCAGGAGCAAGGGGCTCCGTCTGGCCAGGCCTGGCCCCCACGCAGACTCTGACTCGGTCCCCACCCCCGGCAGCCAACATCACCATCTTCAGGCCTACGTCCTTCTTCGTCCTGGTGCACACGGGCCTCGGGCTGCAGCTGCAGGTTCAGCTGGTGCCCCTCATGCAGGTGTTCCTCAGGCTGGACCCCTCCTATCACGGACAGATGTGCGGTGAGGCTCCGCCGACGGGCCGGGAGGGGGCTGGTGCCCGGACTCAGCTCCAGGCCGCGGGCAGGACGGGAAGAGTCTGGCAGGAGGTGAAAGTTGGGAGGCGGCTGCTCCCAGGGCACAGCGGAGACTCCTGCACCGGCCGAGGGCACCCCGAATGTGATGTGTGGCCCTAGGGAGGGCACTTGGGGGGATGGAGAGCAAGCCGTGTTGCCCTTACGAGGTCAGGCTTTGCACAGCGGCTGATCCCCATCGGGGCTCACCTACGGATGGCTCTGGAACCACTCCTGGGATGGGGGTTCGGGGCTGGTCCGCCGTGTGGTGGTTTCTAGAGGAGAGCAGGAGCCAGGGAGCAAGGCCCCCCGGATGGCCAGGCTGGACGCCCTGCTAATGGCCCACCCCTGGGCCCCGGCCCCCAGGCCTGTGCGGGAACTTCAACCAGAACCAGGCCGATGACTTCCGGACCCTCAGCGGCGTGGTGGAGGGCACGGCCGCCGCCTTCGCCAACACCTGGAAGACCCAGGCCGCCTGCCCCAACGTCAAGAACAGCTTCGAGGACCCCTGCTCCCTCAGCGTGGAGAACGGTACTCCCACCCCCCCGGGGGCCCTCCGTTTACGAGGGCTGGGCTGGGAGCCAAGACCTCCCATCTCACCAGGCCCTGGGGGACCCCTGGTGTCCGGGTGTGCATGGCCTGGGGTGAAATCGGGCAGGCCAGAGTGCTCAGAGCCTGTCTTGAGGAGGAGCACCTTCCTGCCCCCTCAGCACGGTGGGCAAGCCCCAAATCCCAGCTGAGCTCTCTGGGGACCGTGGGGCCCCCCAGGGCCCGTGTGCAGGAGCGCAGGCAGCCTGAGGGGGCGGGCGAGGGGGAGGAGGTGTGTGGGTGCCGGCCAGCCAGCCTCCCCCCCGCACCCTTGTCCCAGAGAACTACGCCCAGCACTGGTGTTCCCTGCTGACCGACCCTGCCGGAGCCTTCTCGCCCTGTCACTCTGTCCTCAACCCTGCACCCTTCCACTCGGTGAGACCCCTGCTCCACCTGGAGCCGCCCCCTACCCCTTAGCCTCCCCTTGGTGGTCCCCTATCTCGAGGACCACTCACAGCACGGAGGGCTGGTTGGTCAGTCCTACCCGGGGCTGCCCGGGGCTTTTAGCACCATCACTGTCGGGGTGTTTGTGGCCACGGACCAGCTCACCAAAAACTAGAAATATTGATTCTGTTCCGGTCCTAGAAGCCTGAAGCCCCAAATCAAGCTGTGGGCAGGGCCACGCTCCCTCCAAAGGCTACGGAGAAGGTCCTTCCTGCCTCTCCCAGCTTCTCGGGGCTCCAGGTGTCCCTGGGCTTGTGACCATGTCACCCCAACCTCTGCCTCCCTGGTCACACGGCCTTGGCCCCTCCCCTGTGTCTGTGTCCAAATTTCCTCTTTAAGGACACCAGTCATGCTGGATCGGGGACCATCCCCATGACCTCGTCTTAATAACATCTGCAAAGACCCTGTTTGCAATAAGCTCATTTTCTCAGGCCCCGTGGGTTAGGGTTTCCACGTATCCTTCACAACACTTGGCTCATGGGCCACTTTCCCAGAAGCTCAAAGCCCTAAAATGCACCATCAGGAGCATCTCCAGGTGGAAAGCCCAGGCCCACCTCTGCCTGGGCAGATGGCACCCTCTTCACCCCACCTGTGTCCCCCACACGCAGCACAACCCGTGACGTACGTGGGATGCGGCCGACCCTGGCCCTGTCCTGTGGTGCTCCCTCCTGACCCTGACCATAGCCTGGTCTCACGCCTTCTTGCTGCCCCCTGACCGGGCCTCTGCAGTCGCTTAGCGTGCGGTGTGCCCCTCCTGGGGGCCGCTTTCCGCCCATCTGTGCCAAGGGGCCTCCTTGGGGTGGGCCTCCCAGTCCAGGCAGGGGTCCCAGGAAGAATCCACGGGAAGAGGAGGGGCCTTGGTGGGCTGGGGTTCCTGACGGTCCCCAATGGCCCCATCCCCAGCACTGCATGTTCGACACGTGTAACTGTCAGAAGAGCGAGGACTGTCTGTGTGCGGCCCTGTCCTCCTACGTGCACGCCTGTGCCGCCAAGGGGGTGCTGCTCAGAGGCTGGAGGGA